AAAAATTATACTTTCGCCGAGGAAATCTTTGGGTTGCATATATTATATTGTGGAGGTCTGTAGATAAAGTAAGTTAGAGAGTGAAAAAAAAAATGTTTGTGTGAAAAAAATTGATTATATTTTAATTTGTGAATGAAATAAAATATAATAATCAAAATGGATGTGATATTAACGTAGTAAAATAATAATTATAAATGATTGTTAGTTAATAATACGTTAGTTGATAAATAATAAATTGTTGGGAAATTTAGAATGACGATTGGTTTATTTTTCTTAATTACATAAAATTGATGAGAAAAAAGTGAAAAAAAAAAATGTATTCAATCACATCTCTTGAAAAGAATTATGAGCAAGATAAAATCGAATAAAATTTAGAATACATAGAGTCTAACCGACCACATTTCTGACAGAAAATTCGGACACTTCAGGTCACTGTTGAAGATCGTGTACTGGGACTCGGTTTTGTGTAAAAACTCGCACTAACGGCCTTGGTTCGAACACGATAAAATGTGTAAACCCGCACTGACGGCCTTGATTTACACATTTATAAGTGAAAAACTGCACTATCGGCCTTGATTTTTTACGAAGAAATGACTCGGAAACGATCTTGTTTCTTAATTTTTATTACTTTAAACTTGATTCCTTTTAGAATCATGAGTACATGCATTTTTATAGCTTAAATCTAAACATTCAAATATTCAAATTGTAAATAACATATAGCTAACCATTTAAATATTTAAATTATAAACTAACATACTATACTAATCCTATCTAAATACTTAACATACGTAACTAAAATTAACTACTTCCGTCATCATCCACGTATTCCGATTCTCACTCGAATGTCCGGTTCGCATCAGTCACTCAAAGCACCGTCTCCAATCGCTATCGCTCGGTCCATTCATGTCCAGGTGTGGTTAAAGTGTGTTGTGATGTTGACAAATAGATAGAGCAGAAAAAAGAAAAGAAAACAAAAAAGAAAAAAAATGTTTCACATAAGACATTTTATATTTTTGGCAATTTTGTTGTATGTTTTTGTGTTTGCGAAAGGGAAAAAAAAAGATGGTGAATTGACTCTGAGGAGTAACACTGAAGAGGTAAAAGAAAAGAATTGAAGGAGAATGAGAGAAGTTTAAGGGATAAAAATGTGAACTAAGGTCAAGTAGAATGAAAAACTTTCCAATAAAAACCTTAAAAAGTTGTTACATTGACATACATTGTGGAGATCCAATATAATTATTTAAATTTTGAGTGGGAAAATCAAAATAATTTTAGCTTTTCAAATCAAAGCCTATGATTATTCACATGCTTCCCAAAAATGATTGCAGGGCAAAGCTTGTTCTATTCAACCCAAACATTCGATTAATTAAACAACTGAGCATTAGCCTCTAGCTAAACACCATGATTCAAAATCATTCTCGAAAACAAAAAAATAAGTAAACAAATTGAAGATAAGACCGTGTTTGACAACAAATCTACCACTATCTCTAAACTGGTAGGGCCTGATATTGCCACACTGAGTTCAAATCAACGGATCAATAGACATTGAGTTATTAGAATTGTTAAATGAAACGAGTTGCAAATAATTTTGTTCGACTCGTTAAGACTTGTTTTTGGCTCGTCTCATTTGATAAACAAGTTGAGTTTGGACTTTGAGCTCATTGAAAGCTTGTTTACTTAATGAGTCAAGGTCGATTGAATTCATTAAAGCTTGCTAAAGCTCACAATAAGAATTTTTATATAACTTTTTATTTTTGAATTCGTTAAGAGTTGAGCCCGATTCGTTAATATTGATAAACAGCTCGACTCGTTTATAGCCCTACTAATTACGTACATGTGTATTTTGATATTACTCCTAGTAGCCTAATAACTCTGCATTAAACGGCACTAATGGGAATCTTATTCCACACTCAAAATCAAAGAATAAATAGCAAATACTACTCTACCCACCAACTTGCCAAATTTCCCTACCTTATTCTCACCTGTCAGAAAACAACCCCAGAAAAACAGGAAAGTCATAAAAAACCATAGAGGCATTTCCACAAATACCTCATAAACCCCAGATCAAGCAAGACTCGACCTTTTTTTCCAACCACCACTCAAGAAAACAAAAACCCTCCAAGAAAATCCATGGCGGATTACAGATCAAAATCCTACAGCGGCGGAAATATGCAGATAGAACCCTACTGTGGGTCCCACACCACTGCCTGGCCCAACGATTTCAGGTCCCACAGCGTTTCATACGCTTCCTCCTACTACTCCGCCGGCGGGCTGCCGCCGCCGCCGCCGCCCAAGAAGCTGAGCAAGGGGAAGAGCACAAACGGATCGGGTTCGAGTTCTTGGAGGCTCAGTGACCCGGAGTTTCAGAGGAAGAGACGAGTTGCGAGCTACAAAGTGTACGGTGTTGAGGGCAAAGTCAAAGGGTCTTTTAGGAAGAGTTTTAGGTGGCTTAAAGATAGGTACACTCAGGTGGTTTATGGATGGTGGTGATTTACTGCAAAAACCCATTTGGGGCTATGATTTTTTCTGGGTATTTTTGGCAGTACTTATTATGATTTGCTTTGCCCTTTTTTTTTATTTTTTTTCTCAAGGTGCTGTTGGTGTGTTGTGAGATGTCAAAGTTTAGCTTTTGTTTGATTTGAGATAGCAGAATTGTGTGGAACTGATTATTATGATGCCCACTTTTTCTCTTTTGAAACTATGATCTGTCTTGAGTACTTTTAACAGATTATGAAATTGGTGTGGGTGATTTTGGCTGTGTTTCATTTTTCAAGTTTTGAATTAACTTGGTCTGTGTATTGGGCTATTGGCATGACTCGGTCAACCGAACTAATCCTCCTCCTCTCCTTCCATTTTTAGAATTAACTATAATTTATGCCAATGGTAGCTTTCTTTTATGGAGAAATAGATCATCTAAATATATAATTTGTAGAGTTTTATGGAAAATTGGAGAGATTAGTGAATAAAATTGTGTATAGTAGTTTTACCACTTTTAAACCTAGGTTAGAGGACTTTGTTAGCATATTCCTTGTTTCATAGAGCTATTAAATAGAACGAGTCGGTCGTGAGCTCGATTCAACTCGGTTCCTTTGATAATGAGTCGAGCTCAAACTCATTGAAACTTGTTTAGTTAATGAGCCGAGTAAGACTCGAAAATATGATATTTTTTAATATTCGGATCGTTGATATCGATGAACGAGCAAAGGTTGAGGTCGTTTATCAAATTGTTAAATTAAGGAGCTCGACTCAATAAACTCCAGCCCGACACAGATTTCTTTAGTCCTTTCTTTTGTAGCAAGAATTAATTAAACAAACTGAATGGACGAGTTAAAACTCGTCAAAAGTCTTCAAGCAAATAGCCTACTGAAATAGAATATGGGAAAAGAAACTTATATTTAATATAGAACCTAAAAGTCCACTTCAATAATTCATGTATTTTTATGATTGTGATGTAAGGCCCAGAAGAAGCAGTCACTTCGTGCATTATGCAAATTGCAACATGTGCAAGGCCAAAATTCATGCACTTAAATTGTATGTGCAATTTGATCATGTTACAAAATGTTTTGATTTTGTTCAGATTTTTTTTTAGATATAGTTAATTTTGAAAAAAGTTGTATGATTAGGTGTTAGTGAGATTTTGAGTTTATATTAAAATAATATTTAAAATAAAATAATTAAAATTAATTTTTTTATGTAAAAGTATGAGAAAAGGATGTGAAGTGATAGTTACTTAAAATTATATGAGTGAATGAATAATAAATTCAAGTTGATGTAATGTGTAAGAATGGTTAACTTAAATGATTTAGTTATATTGATAATATTGATGGTAGTGAAGTTGAGTTAAATTTGAGTTAAAAAAAGTGACTGGTTAAAAATGATTTATTTTTTTTTAAAGAAAAATAGTATACAAGCATGCACTTAGCTAGTGGTTTCATTTATTTATTTTTATTTTTATAATATGCATGTTTTGATATTTCTCTTAACGAAGACAATGATATATCATAATGAATGTGATGTGCAATTCTTTTTAGAAATGCTCTTTCAGTGGTCTCGGACTGGTTTGACCTTCGGAGATGGGAGTGTTCCCGACGGTAGACCTTCAACGATCAAGTCAGTTCTCATATTACGAAAGAGGATAAAATGTGTATGTATATTGTAAAGCTAAAGAGTGTAACTCTTACCATTCATGCATGAGATCTATATATAGTAAATTCTTGCCTTGTTGTCCGAGATTTGTCCAATCCTACTGCCCTGGCTGCCCGAAGGTCCACCAGATCTTACTGCTTGGGTGCACTGACAGAGGGAAGGTCTGCCCGACGGTTATCTTGCTGCTCCAAGGTCTGTATGAGATCCAATCTTATCTCTAAGGTGATCTGGAAAGTATTCTAGGCACTGAAGCTTTCTATATTCTTAATTTTATAAAAACCTGGGATGTGCTTTATTTACTACAGTAACAAGAGTATTCCATGCTAGAATAATATAGAAATTGCTATTTACTAAACATTGATTTGTAATCCGTTAATATATTTCAGTAACAATCAATTATTATAAGAGAAATGTTATATGTAAATAATATATGGGTGTACATAACACTTTCATTAAGTGAGACCGATCAAAAATAAAAAATCAAGTAGCCCCATCCATGTAAGTGTTATGTACAACTCTATGTACATTTATTATGTAGTTGTAGTATTTTTCTTATTATAATGTGCTTAAGCTAATCGTTACCACAGTTAAATGAAAGAAAAATACATCCACAAAACAACTGAACAAGCTTTATTGCCTTATTTATTAAAAGAAATCCCAGGCTTTTAATTAATTAATTAATTAATTAACAAGAAACCAATAAAATTAATTTTACAAAAATAAAGCACATTCCTTGGAGCACGAAACCGTGCGAGTGCCCAAACAAAGGGCGTGCCATTTATTGACGGAGATCTGTCATCTGTGTTTTCAGAGGTACAGATCTTTGCACGAGAAGGGAGCTTACGAATTTTACACATTTTTCCAAATCCCACCTTAGCAAATTTTGTTTTGGTTATAATTATACAATATACACACATTATTTATCACACACAGAGGAGCCTTGAAGGTGGTGAGATGTGGGAATCAATCTGCTTAACCGTGGCGGCCACTGCCGGTAATAACATCGGAAAAGTCCTCCAGAAAAAGGGCACTCTTATTCTCCCACCTCTCTCTTTCAAGCTCAAGGTTTCTTGTTTTTCCCCCTTTTCTTGTTTTCTTGTTTGCCTTTTTTATGTATATTCTATTCAAGCGTCGATTTGCAGATTTCTTGTCATCTATGTTCGATTGCGGGTTCTGTATAGCTTTACAAACGAATTCTTTTTCTTTTATTACTATTGTTTTTGCCCGGGTTGATTTGATTGCGTGTGATTGCTTCTTGGGACAAATTAATTATTCAGCCCATGTTAGTTTGATCTCTATAGCTGAATAAGGGATCTTTGTTTGTTCGTTGCTGATGGGTTTGTAACTAATATATCACTGTTGCATATATATATTTCATACAGTTGGGCTGATTAGAGGAGATCATAATCTTGTTTGGATTTGTAAAGATGGGGTTTCTAGACATTAGGGAGCTCCTGTAGGTGATTTGTAAAGCTAGGCTTGAAATTCGGATAATGTAATTGTGAAGGGCCATGATTTTTTTTTCAACTGCTGTTCATACGGATGACAATCTTTTATGTATTCCTGCAAGGGTTGTAATTTTCATAACGCAGTCCCAGCTACTCATGTTTCTAATTCAGTTAACTATTTGCTTTCCAAGTAGTGTTCATCTCAACACTTCCTTATATTGTGATGCCAAATAATAACAATTTTTGTGTAAATCAATTTGGTGCATAGTGACTGGGTTTGCAAGGCATTAGGGAGCTCCTGTAGGTGAATTGTAAAGATGGAGATTTTAGACATTAGGGAGCACCTTAGGTGAATTGTAAAGCTGAGCTTGGAATTCGAATAGTCTAAATGTGAAGGTCCGTGATTTTTGTTCGACCGCTGTTCATATGGATTGCAGTTTATCGTTTACTCTTGCAAGGGTTGTAATTTGCACAATGTAGTCCCAGCTATTATGTTTCTAATTTAGTTGAGTATTTACTTTCCAAATAGTCTTCATTTCTATAGTTTCTTATATTGTGTCAATCGATAATAACTTCTGGTCCAATCAAGTTGGTGCACACTGCACACACATTGACAGGGTTTACAAGGCAGGACTTCTTGTAAAATAACTCATCTAATCCATGTTTCCGTTTTTCTTCTTTAAATATTTTTTTAACACCTGAGTTAATTTATATAGCTGGTTGAGGCTCTTTCTCGGGTACTATGGAGTCGAATAGTTTTATCTCCACGATGGAAAAAATATCCCTCAAGTTTAATTAATAATTCACAATACAATAAAACAGAGATAATCACTTATGTTTCTTCCATTTATTTGTACATAATGCCAGTTAAGAGATGGCTTTAGCGAATTTGACCTTATACTTTTCTTCGCTTTTGCTCTAACATAGTATAATCAGGAAGGTGAATGATTTACAGAAACTCGCACATGTATGTTTGTTTATTGCATACTATTCAAATTATGGTTGGTTGAATTTTGTTACAATAAATAATTGGAATCTTCAGGTAATAAGAGCATATGCTTCCAACAGAGCTTGGATTACTGGCTTCTTGATGGATATATTTGGAGCTATCTTGATGTTGCTAGCACTTTCTCATGCTCCTGTAACTTCCATCAACATCCACTCTTAAATTTTAATTTGATTAGCTAATGATATGCTGCCTCAGGTCATGATAACAGCTTACCCCGAGATGTTTAACCTTCTTATTTTTTATTTTTATTTTTTATTTTGTATAGGTATCAGTCATTCAACCTGTTTCCGGCTGCGGGCTTGCTATCCTTTCGGTTTTTTCACATTTTTATCTGAAGGAAATCATGAATCCTATTGATTGGATGGGAATCATTTTTGCTGGTATTGGCACTATAGGTAATGTAAGTTATTGGATTACAATCTAGAATACCAGGATTTCTTGAAGTGCACTTTATCTTTCTTGTCTATATGACTTTTAGAGTTTCTTGTTAATAAGATCAACCTATATCTAGGGAGTGTGTGCAAATAGCGTGAAAGGCGAATTCAGTTCACATAGGGGGAAATACACTCATTATAGGAATTATTATTATTATTATTACTATTATTTATTGTTATTATTATGTTTTAAAAATTTACTATTTATTTAATAGGTGTTGGTGCTGGAGGGGAGGAACAGAAGTCTTCATCTATTTCAATATACCATCTACCGTGGCTAGCATGTGTTGTTGCTGTCTTGTTTGTAGGTATCTTACATTTACAGTATTTAATTGTAGGGATGGGAATGTTCTAATAATCTCATTACTAAATTCTGAAGTTTGCTTGATGGAGCAGATGCAATATTTCCAGCTGACTAAACAAAGTTATAAACTGGTGATCGATCATTTAACTTTTACAATACGGTTTGGTTGATTATTATCACATTTGCTTGAGATGCTCACTGTTAGTGTGGAACATGCACAACCTTTTGTGTTTCTGATTTAGATAATATCTTACAGTTTCATATCTAAATCGACCCTTCATTCCAAGGGGCAGGGCAAACAGAGAATTCATGATTTATTTATTTATCTATTTATTTTTTCAATTTTTTGTTTGCATAGTCTTCTAGTAAATCTTCATCTTATCATGTCTGCTAAATTCTTATTATAGGTGCTTCTTAATGGATGGCTTCGTGTGTACAGACGTCAAAGACGAGAACAGGAGTTGGTATGCCAAAATTTCCCAATTAATTTCTGCATTAATTTATTTTGCAAGCATTGTGAACAACTCAATGCCTATTGTTGTGCACTTTTCACCTTGAAGATGCAATATGAGGTTGTTGAAGAAATCATTTATGGCTTGGAATCTGGCATCTTATTCGGGTACTGGCATGTCTCGAGCTTAATATTAACTGTTCTCGTACTTTTCTTCTTCTTCTTTTCTTTTTCTTTAAAATTCTTCACATAATTTTTCAAGAATGTAATTTCAGGATTGCATCTGTAATTTCAAAGATGGGGTTCGTATTCTTGGAGCAGGGCTTTTCCAAGCTATTACTCCCCATTTGCATCTCCATTAGCATTTGCTGCAGTGGTTCTGGATTCGTTTATCAGGTAAGATAATTCTTGTTTGATTTTAAATAATTCATGCTAATGAGTAATTAATATAACCATTGCTCGATGCTTTTTTCCAAATATAGACCCGTGGATTGAAGCACGGAAGGGCAATTGTAGTGTCTACTTGTGCAGCTGTTGCTTCAATAGTGACGGGCGTGCTTGCTGGCATGCTTGCTTTGGGCGAACGTTTGCCTTCAGCTCCTGTGGCTCGTCTAATGCTTCTTCTTGGATGGTACTATTATTCTTTCTTTTCAACATTTTTTTTTTTTTTTTTTATGTGTTTTTGTGTAGGTTGTTTATAATTGTTGGTGTGATTTTGCTTGTGACCTCAACACGTCTGGTTAGATACCTCCCGAGGCCATGGAGAAGATTTGTGAGAAGTGGAGTTGAGAGAAGGCAGTCGAGTTCTATTAGAACGAGGGAAACTAACCCTAGTGCTGTTATCCAAACGAGCACGCTGCACCATTTACTTTCATCTCCTTCTAAATCGAAATCTTGATTCTTTTTTTTTTTTGTTCGTTTTTACTAGAAAAGAATGGAAATTTACTAGTTACATAGAAATGCTGTTCGACTCTCAGGAACGTATAATTTTAGTCTCGGTTTGGAGAAATTCGTTGAGAGTGTACAGTTTTTATCTCTGTGTACATTTACTTACAGGGGCATAGATCAGCTCAGCTCAATTGTTCTAAAGATTGTTTAGCAATTCGCATCTTTATTGAGGGACCCCAAGTGTTATTCAGTACAAATGAGAAGATTATTAAAGGCTGCCCAAAAAGGGAAAAAAATAAAAATAAAGCAGCACTCCAAACTCTATTTGACAATTAACAAGACAAGGACTATATTGTATTGCTGCACCTCACTTATGGTCCATCAATCAAAATATTCATGAACATTTTATAGCAAATGAATAATTTCTTGGCCCCCAAAATATTCAAGAAGAATATATTGCAAAGGAATATTTGGTACCCCACATAACATATAGCTTGTCCCTTTAGGTTGGGCCACAAAAAACTAAGCTCCTTTCAAGAGGGTTTGGCCAAGTTTTATGTTACTATGTATATAAACAAGTTCGAAATATCTCCAAGATCTAAAATAAAGAACAAAAGAAGAGAATGTGAAGGAAAAGGGAAGAACCCAAGTAAAAATACAGAACAATTTTGAGTATAATAATTGTTTTCCAACTAATAATAGTAAGAATTTAAGGTTCACTTTAAAGTGTAAACCATAAAGTGTAGGTAAGTACCTAATATTCTTGAATATTCCTAAGACCAGAAAAATGTGTGGTTTTAATGTCTTGTCTGCC